CTTTTCTTTACCTCACCATTTTCTTTGTAAGTACCAGATTTCTTAAATATTTTTTCTTGTAAGTACCAGAATTGTTTCATCTTTTAGTAATGTTAGTCACTAGACATAAGGATTTATTAATATTTTTTATTCACACTTAGCTAAATGTTTTGTAAAATTGTAAAATGTAATATAGACATCAGACATGAGCATTCAGAAATACTTTGTAGTTCCTCACCCTTTTTAAATATGTTTTTGTAAATTGACTTTGACGTTGAATAAGTAAATAAATTAATAAGATTTCGAGGACATTTGAAATATTTTACACTAAACTCTGTCCTTCCAACAAACAAATTAACCCAAACAATGATATGATGCCTGATCAAAGCATGATCACTCACATTTGCATCTATTGGGCAAAATAAACAAGCTTCCTTACGCTGGCCAATCATATTTAACTGCAATCGGCTGGCGGAATTCATTCAGATATATGGCTATAGGGTCGAAGTGGTGAGTTACGTTTCAACGCCGGTAGTGTGTACATAAACGGTATTTTAAAATTTATTTTTTTTTAAATGTCAAGTACTGATACGGCTGAAGGAAGTGCTGATTTGTGTCCCTAGACTCCACTTCAAAACTGTTCCTATACATAGCAGAATATTATTGAAAAAAAATCGTTCGTTCCTTCGTGCGGCTCTGTACAAGCAGCCTTGTCTGGGAGATCACGCGCACTGTGCATGAAAATGTTTTGGAGCATTCTTTTGATTAGATGGACAGAGTATAGCAATACTTTATTTGATTTAACTTCTCATGGAAATAACATACCTGTAATAAATCTGGTGGGGTTGCAAGAAATTCTTTGCAATTGTTTCAGTCGAGTGTGAAGTAGGTAGTAAGGACAAAATATCCTCAAACCCTCAAAACGAACTCCAAGCAGACCACTAAAGAAAGCAATCAATTGCAAAATGAACTTTTTAAAAAGATGTATATTTCATGCAAAGATTTAACTTTTATAAAAAGCTCTCTCGAAACAACTACTCTCATATAAACATTGAATTACACGATATCCTATTCAGTTTCTACTCCAAACATTTGTTATGAAATTGAATCAGATATCATTCACAGGATTACTACACAATATAGTATATGAAAGAGGTAGAATTTCACTTACATGGAGCACTGTCATTTTCAATGGTGTTTCGGAATAAGACTCTTCAGGATCAATTTTGTTGAAAAAAATCAGTAAGAACTATAAAAAATGTATCATTCAAGAATTCCTGCAAACCATTGTTTGCTGAATTGAATATTCTTCCTCTAGCCTGTCTTTATATCATGGAAGTTGCCTGCTACATACATAATGGCGGATTGTGGTGATAGAGCACAATTTATGGATTTTTGGTTTTTGACGGACTTCATTAGAAGCATATAGAGTGTTTCCATGTTTATGAAAAGTGAAAAGGGACAGGAATAAGCGAGACGAAGCGTTGAACAATCTTTTACTGTTGATTCGCGACACGATTCCCACTGCAGACTTAAGTTTCGTCATATGTAGAATCTAGTCAGTGAAGCAGAGTTTCCGTAGGGAATTTAGAAAAGTGAAGTTGTCGATGAAATCCGGCGCGGCGGAGGAAAATGTTGAGAAACCACGATTATGATACTATGACCTCATTTCTTTCATCGCTGGTCACGTGACAAACAACACATCAAGATCGACTTTCCGAGAAGAGGAGGAAGAAGATGAAGGTGCACAAAACCTACAATCTTCGAAGAACTCATCTCAACTGTTGGAATGAAACTCGTGAAATGGCGAACCGTTGTTCACATTCCCCTCCACTGTGTGTTTAGGGAGTTGGAAGATTACCACATTTTTTGTATGAAGATGGAGAAGTAGAAAGCCAAAACATCTCTTGAAGCTCAATGTGTGTGCTGGTATAAGAGGTTCTCTAATTATCAATCTACGGAACGCAGAATGGTTCTTCCCAATTTGCCACTAAGATTTTCTAATTCAGAAAGTCTTGATGCACCTGCTCACATAATTTTGTTACTACAAGACGCCTTCGCCGGGATACGCCTTTCGGAAATACCTCAATAGAATATTTCTTAATCCTGCGGATTGGCAGCCAGGGTTATATTGAATTCAAATGTAAAAACACTTCGAAAAACAATGACCAAAGCCGTCACTATCAGCACTTCACAATTACTTTCAATATCTAATGGTGGTGTCGAAACTAAAGATCAAATCTATCACACCAACAACCTGCGTTCAATTCTCCAACGAAAGCTTTTTATGACGTCATGAAACAAAAATGTGTTGAGCGAAAAGATGGGCTGACGTAAGGGCGCCACGTGACTGAGTGGTCTGTCTCGTTGAGGGATACGCCTGATCCTGGTTGTGTGTCTGCCTGAATTATTTATGTCTACAGAAAATTCAAATCTCCCGCCACGATTTTCTGAGATGCAGAAGCGTGCGTTTTGATTAGCTGGCGAGCTGGGTGACAGTTACAGGATGCTACGTGACGATTTGGTACACTCTGATTGGCTCACCGCCTAGCTAGCTGGGTGACAGGACAACACGTGCACTCTGGTTAACTGGGTGAGCTGAGAGATAACTTGACTAGTGTGATGACGTCACTGTCTCGTTGAATTGAGGGTGCCTCTACTACAGCAGTGTGCCTGTGACTCGACTGACTTCAACGCGTCTCGACAGCATGTATGAAACCTTCGTCTAAGTGAATGAGATGAATATTTCGAGATACCATTTCTAAATAATCATTTTCTCGTTCGTATGTAGGTATCTCACCTCGATATAGTCGTCAGACTTATTTTAACCTCGTTGGACTATTTTCTATGGCTTATAGTACTGTTCAACCAAAAATTTAATTTGTTCCAATAATGAAAGAACTATGGAATATAGAAAGAAGTCAGTAGGCTATACTTGAAGACTGGCAGTGAACAAATCTAAAGAAATGAACTTTAAATGTTCAAGCCAGTCTCGGATATACCTACACAGTGGGTTGAATGGACTGACGCATATCAGGAAACAACTACTCTACTGGCTAATACCACGAACGGCGTTGAATTATATCCGACAGGCGTCAGTGCGGGAATCTTCACAAAAAATTTCCTGCATATGCAATTGGCAATACAACTGAAAGAGTCGACCTTCAATTTTGGAACGGGCACACTTGCAGACCGTTTTCGGGCTCCTTAGCCACCCATGGGCTATGTGGGCTAGCATAGCCCACTGACTAATAAGAAAATGTTTCTTCCTCATTCCTCTTATTTAGAGGAATCGGGCAAATTTCGGATATGTAGTTGGTTAGTACCTCGTCCACTAGATGGAGTGACATTTTTGTTGTTTGCTCCAACTTGAGACTAAGAATAAAATACTATGAAAGAATTTCGATTTTCAATTATGGAATATTATTGACTTTAGGTCGATGATGGTCATTATCTTGCACTGACGTGTGGCTAAGGAGCCCAAAACCGGTCTGCAAGTGCGCCCGTTCCAAAATTGAAGGTCGACTCTTTCAGTTGTATTGCCAATTGCATACGCAGGAAATTTTCTGATAGGCGAACCTACCTTTACCTACTGTGAGTCCAAGAGCCAGTGACGCATGTTTCATGAAGTGTTTGATGCACCCTGAAATTTTGTAAGGCTAGTATCTATGGAATAAGAAGTACGAATACCTGTGTTTGCCTAAAAACATTTCATTTTGTCACAAAAAAACTTTGAGGGAAACCCTCTCCAAAGTGTCTGCCATCTTAAATTATAATTAATAATTAACTAATCTTTCGATTGAAGTTTGTTGGCCTGTGAATCAAACACTTATTTTGGCTTATATTTTTTACACCTTTCTATTATGCACAGTGGTATCCCGGGCAGGGTCAGGCAAACAAACACAGGTATTCGTACTTCTTATTCCATAGATACTAGCCTTACAAAATTTCAGGGTACATCAAACACTTCATGACGCATGAAATGCGTCACTGGCTCTCCGACTATGTGTAGGTATATGCGAGACTGGTTTGAACATTTAAAGTTCAAAAATAGCCCCAAAAATGATGATCACGTTGCGGATGCCATATTAATAATTTTCAGTCCTGGTAAATTATGCATTAGTTTGTCTGTTTCTTTAATATTTTCTAATTCGAATAAATAATATTGATTCAAACGTGATTTCCCAACCTATTAACAAGCGAGTTACATCCAAAAAGTGGCTACCTAGCAAAACAGAATTGACCTCGTAGATATCAGCATATCGTTGTGCATTATATTCGAGTGGGACGCTGAGAACAAAGCTGTTGAATAGGAGAGATGTCAATAAACCTATTGTTAAGTAGACGTACTTAAAAATAACTCAGCAGATTGTTTGAAAAGTCCCATATTGACTTCCTATATTACCTCGGCTGCTCCAACTAATTCGGCGTATAGTTTTCCATGAGCTTCTCGATATACGAGGTCTGTTAGAAAAATAAGGTGATTGTTCAAATTTCGCGGGCGACGTACATTCGATTAGCGTTTTTTATGTTGATCCATTCATCTCAACCATATGTTCACAGCTTTAGTTTTTTGCATGGTTAGTTTGTTGGTGAAAGGTATAAAAGTTGGGAGTGTTTTGTTTTGCATGTTCGGCGATTCTCTGGGGTCCAAAAAAGTGGATGAAAACCATTTAAAATGTTTACAGTGGCATACGGTGATTGTACTCTGAGTCAGAAATATGTTCACAAGTGGTACAAGTTTTTCACAGAACGTCGAGAAGATGTGAATGACGACGATCTCCCTGGACGCCCCAGCACATCAACAGTCGATGAAAATGTTGTAAAAGTAAAGAGAGTTGTTATGGTGAATAGTGGAATCACTATTAGGCGTCGCTCCCACTGGAGCAATACAATAAGCGATGCAATATGAGCAATATTTTATCGTCCGATGCAACTTTTATCCTCACAACACTCCATTGCACACTGGAGCGATACGATAGCCTATCAACGGTTGGAAACAGGCGGATCGCGGTCCGTTTGCGGACCTTGAAAAGTCAAACATCGAACCACCAAATATTGTATTGTGTTATACAGTACGATGCAAATGTATGGAATAAATTCGATATTCACAAAAGGAGCGTCTTTCGGAAGAAATCCAAAAACAGGTCAACTTTAATTTTTGACGGCCCATCTCATGATATTCATATGAAAGACGTTTCGTCACCAGTGTTGGCGTGATGACGTAATCGACAATTTTTTTAAATCTTCAAAGAGGAAGATTAAAATTAAGAGAAGTTTCAATCTTCCTCTTTGAAGATGATCACTTGGTGATCGAAACACGTGTCGAGGTGTTAAAAATAACGATTTGGTGTTGGAAGATTAAAACTCAGTTTTAATCTTCCTCTTTGAAGATGATCACTTGGTGATCGAAACACGTGTCGAGGTGTTAAAAATAACGATTTGGTGTTGGAAAAAACTCCAGTAATATTCATTACTGCACCAAAGGTTCCAAACAGTGCATCATAAATTATTATGACTGTTAATTATTTATACATTTACTTCCTTACTGACTTATGTCATATAAAAACAAAATATTTCGGAGATTATTCAATTCTTACTAACGAACATTGAATGAAACTATCACATAATTGGGTCACGGCTGAAGGAACATTAAATAGTTCTCGAACTGACCCGTGACCATGACCAATCTGAATATAATTAGTTGTTTTGAGTACAAGTTCATTGATAACACAAGTAAAAGTACGATATCTTGGTAATATTGAATCTCACTGATTGATAACCCAATAACATCCAAGCTTCCGACGTAATTGAAAACATAATATTTTTTACCACATGCAGTAATGTAACGTGTCCATATGAGGAAACTATAGATACTTATCATCGAATACCGATCTGGATTTTTTAAAAACAAAAATTACATTTGTTATTTTAAAATCCCCGACTTTTCATAAAAGTGTTTATAACAAGTAAATAGGTATTATTCAGATATTATTATGGGCCAAACATAACTCTCTATTCTTCAAATCATCTAAAGGAACAATTCGTTCAGGCAAGTCTCAACTCCCTACTCTGTAGGTTAATGGACTGACACCGAAGAGAAAACAACTACTCCCCTGACTAATACCACGAAGGGCGTTGGATTATATCCGACAGGTGTCAGTGCAGACTTCTTCACTGAACCCTGAGGATACACTATGAAAACATACTTTTCCACAATAGTTTTGTATTTGTTGACTAGTTTCGGTCATTATACCATTTTCAAAACTAACCAGATTACATTCAAATCTGAGTTTTTATACCTACATTGCATATACCTATCATGAATAATTTGATACCTACATTGTCAATACCCAGGATAACCTCAATTAATAGCAGTATATTGGTGAACATAACAAAAATTTTTGATAAAATGTAGGTTTTGGGTACTAGGTTATAGTTTCAGGAGAGGAATATTGTTTAAGGCAAGTTGTTCGTTGAAAATAATAGAATTGGGATTTTTCTTTGACTTGTATATTTCCATGGATTCCAACAAATTCATCATTTTCCCTTTTTCGCATGTGTGGAGGATCTATTTTATGTTTCGAATTTNGAAAATTTTTTTATAAAATAAAAATAAAAAATAACTCATGGATGGAAAATGTATGATGTTGAAGTAGCTGTCAGGATGCTTTAAACTCTCATGTATAGCCATTATAATATTAGTCGCAATTTTTTTTCTTATTTGTTGGCTAGTGTAATTATTCTCTGAGATATATCAGTTTAAAATAGAGTCATAAAAACGGAGTCAAATTAATAAACAATTTGACTAGTGACCTTTGAGTGAAAATGGTCACTTCCGGTCTGGATTTTTTAGATCTCGCGCAAAATAATAAAAACTGTTCCTTTTCTTACCTCGTCGCACTAACTGCTGCTTCATGTTCCATATACTTTTGTCTTTCGGTAAAGGGTATTGTTTCAGCCATCCCCCACAAGTTGCTTTCCACAAATTATCACAAGGGGAAACTGTGTTATCGAGAGCTTCTTGAACCTGCAAGCCAATAAAATATTTGTATTTCTAAATTCGGAAAGAAATTGGGTCTGCTAAACATATAACAAAAATATACCCTTCGAATGAAGAATTTCTGAGATAGACAAAATGTTCACAGTTGACAGCAAATATTTCTAGGAAATGTCAACTGTTTGACATTATTCAGTATTTTGGAATATCCACAATTTCAATAAAAAATCTATTCCAAACTGCATGAAAAAATACATTTTTGTATTTGGTCTCATTTGAAATTTCTCCCCTAAGGACTCTTTCACGTGGGGAGCTTTACGTATCTCGCTCCTACACGGGAACGTTTATCACTATTACCTACCGCCCATTCAAACCGGGACCCTTTTTAGTTTCTGGCTCCTTGAGGTCAGTCGTCGCGACGTGTTGCCACATACCTTCTCTACCGTCGACACAAACCTCGACGACGGAAACGTCAACGATCAAGAATGGGATGGATAAAGTTGCGAAATCTACGTTGAGCACCTTGCAGAGACCTTTACCCCAAAGAGCAAGTTGATTGCAGACAGCATTAATTAATAGTAATATGCCATGATGAATAGTAATCCACACTACTACCTACCGAGGGTTGACTGTCCTTGTTCATCTTTCACTGCCTAAACCACTGTGCATGTTGTTTTTGGCGAGTACATTGGCTTGGGATGTGGGGGTTGAGCAAACCGGCCATCGGATGCCTGCTTCCACGTAGCCCCACTGGATATGGGACTGACAGAATCACTTGTGGTTCTGTTATTCCCAACTGAATAGCATCCCAACGATGGCTTAATCATAAGGTGTGTGTGTATCCGTGCCGTGATGATGAATGAAACTGAACCTATCAGCTGTCTCTACGGAACTTTCGAGATAACGAACGCCCTCTCGTTATACCATCACCTTGTCACGGTAATGCGGGGCTCTGCCGTAATTGACCCCCTTTCTTCAGCTACGAGGGACTTTTATGGATAGAGTAAACTTATAAATTCTTTCTGATGCTGAGTCTACAGAGGATATGGATGTCGAGCTTACGACTCCAACTGACCTCCCTGTAAATTTTGATCAGAAGCGAGTCTACAGAGGAGATGAATGTCGAGCTTAAGACTCCAACTGACCTCCCTCAAATTCAAATCAGTAGCGAGAGCTTCTCAACTCTCCAACTCCTGATCCAATAACTGAACCAAAAAAAAGTTTGGTGGTGCAGCCAGGAAACGACTGAGTCGTCTCCTCAAGAGCGGGGTACCTTAGAAAACCGCCTTACACCAAATTCTTGAGCGGCGTACGCAGAACCTGTCTCAGGTGGAGGAACAAACTCCCCATGAGCAGGTTAGCAAACTTTCACTCGGTTTATTTGGTCGAGTGTGAATGGGTGTGAGTCATAATAAATCCTTGTGGGTTGCGGTGGAGGGCCGAATAGACCCACTCACTTTGGACCTAACCTAACCTAACTACCTACCGCCCATTCACACCGGGAGCCTTTTTATTTCATGGCTCTTTGAGGTCAGTCGTAGAATGGATCGCACTCCAACGGTATAGGCAGTGCACGCCAAAATAGCTCTCAGGGAGCAAGAATTTTTCNCTTTCAATTCTAAGCAACTTTTCTCTTCAACATATTTCTATATTATTTGAAATAAGGGTACTTTACTCTTGAACGAACTTTATATTTTTTGGCCTATCCTGTATGGTGTTTGTCGTAAAGCCATTTCAGGTACACTTGGTATAGTTTTGGAACTTGCACCAACTTTTGTCAGGAATAAAATTTTCTGAGAAATCGATAATAAAAAAGTTTCACATTTGTTGCACACTTAGTGGACCACACTGTATACACAAATGTCTATATACTTTAGAAATCACATTAGGAAACATCTTCAATCAATTTTTTTCTCTAGGCACCTTTCCAGATTATTGAAAACATAGCTTCCCGAAACCAATACATGAACTAGGAGATAGGTAAGAAAAATATTAGAAATTATAGAGCAGTTTGCAATCAGTCAGAGATGGCTAAGATGTTTAATTCTATGCTTACAAATAAACTTTCCTGGGACTGTAAGTCTTGTAATATGTAAGTCTTTACATATACGGTATTTTAAATGTCAAGTACTGATACGGCTGAAGGAACTGCTGATTTGTGTCCCTAGACTCCACTTCAAAACTGTCCCTATACATAGCAGAATATTATAGTGCGGCTCTGTATAAGCAGCCTTGTCTGGGAGATCACGCGCACTATGCATGAAAATGTTTTGGAGCATTCTTTTGATTAGATGGACAGAGTATAGCAATACTTTATTTGATTTAACTTATCATGGAAATAACATACCTGTAATAAAACTGGTGGGGTTGCAAGAAATTCCTTGCAATTGTTTCAGTCGAGTGTGAAGTAGGTAGTAAGGACAAAATATCCTCAAACCCTCAAAACGAACTCCAAGCAGACCACTCAGGATCTCTTCTATTGTTTCAAAACATTGATTGTTTCTCTAATATTGATATTTCGCATGTCTTAATCAATGATCGATATCTTCTGAAATAGTTCCAGATGACTACTACTTAAAGTTGATCAGAAATAGCGTCCACCACGAAGATTTGCGTTTTGACAAACCTGCACAGGTCATGTCTGGAGAACAAGACGGTTCAGAAAATCTGAAGGAAGAAAAGGCATTCGAATCAAAATGGATTCCAGTCATGCCAGGTTTGATATCGCAAAGGTAATTTATTTAGTCTCTCATAGACATGGTGAAGTACTAAATATCAGCAACGTACAAGGCAAGGTAATATAAAAAGGTATTATTTTAGGTTGGTAAACGAAAGCAAAAATCTCAAGTCACCGTTTTAACCAAGAAAAACCACCAAATTATACAAAAACAAAATTATGGGTGTAAAATTTATCTGCGAGAAGAACTGTGCCCTCACTCTTCAAAATAATTGAAAATGAAAATTCTGGAGCAATCAAGTTGATTAATTTCGAAAATATCTACTTTGTAAGTTATGCTGGACGAAAATTAAAGCAAAAGTAAAAATTTTTGTGTAAAGGTGAGGATCCAGAAAATATAGTTCAATATTGGCAATTTTCCAAAAGTTGTAATTTGTTATTGGGAAAATAGGGTTGGGCTTTCTACTTCTCCATCTTTATACAAACAAATGTGGAAATCTTCCAAAGACAAGAAAGCAATCAATTGCAAAATGAACTTTTTACAAAGATGTGTATATCATGGAAAGATTTAACTTTTATTAAAAGTCCTCTCGAAACAACTACTCTCATATAAACATTGAATGACACGATATCCTATTCAGTTTCTACTCCAAACATTTGTTATGAAATTGAATCAGAATTTATGGATTTTTGGTTTTTGACGGACTTCATTAGAAGCATATAGAGAGTTTCCATGTTTATGAAAAGTGAAAAGGGACAGGAATAAGCGAGACGAAGCATTGAACAATCTCTTACTGTTGATTCGCGACACGATTCCCACTGCAGACTCAAGTTTCGTCATATGTAGAATCTAGTCAGTAAAGCAGAGTTTCCGTAGGGAATTTAGAAAAGTGAAGTTGTCAATGAAATCCGGTGCGGCGGAGAAAAATGTTTACAAACCACGATTATGGTACTATAACCTCATTTCATTCATCGCCTCATTTAATTTTTGAATAATTAGTGTAATCTTTCGCTCTGTTCTCCCTAAGGTGATATAAGAGATTGAGGTGAGAACACTTCTATCTCTCTCACGAAGCCACTGCTTGGTCCATTGTGATCTTTCCTTCGTCTTTCTTGTAAAACCTCCAAACTAATCTGATACAGCAAGAGCAGCTGCAATCTTCGAAGAAATCATCCCAACTGCTAAAATGAAACTAGTGAAATAACAAACCGTTGTTGATTGTTCACATTCCCCTACACTGTGTGTAAGTAGTGACGAATCAAGTTCGGCGAACCAGGTTCCATGTGTGCAGGCCGCAATAGTTTTGATTACACTCTAAATCATAAATCAAGTTACAAACGAACATACCATCAAGGAAACATATGTTCGTTCTTGCTCTGAGTATGTTATCGAGTAAGTCTTTATTCTGTCAATTCTGTGCATTTGTCATGTCATTAGTCATAACAAAAATACGTAGTAAGGTGTAAGAAGTTTATGTTTAAGTTTCGAGTTAATGAAAACAAGTAAACAGTACCGCGGGTACAAGGGTTTTATGCACAAAGGCAATAAAGAGGAAAATGTAGTGACAACAACTAATTATTGAAATCGTTTAACATAGTGGAATCACAAATGAACGGTTTCAGTACCGGTGAAGAGGATTCAAGGGACCCTAGTGATCAAATTTGTTGCTTGATTGAAAACGGCGATCGTTGTTCAAAACCAGCTGGAAACGCATCATACAGCAAACGAATTCAGAAAACGGTAACGCAAAGGCGATTGAATTTAGGAATAGACAATAACGTAAGTATTCAATATTTTCAANTATTCATTAAATATTGGTATATTTGTAACCTGTTGTTTTGTATAGGTTATTTTCATTCATATTTTTCATTATTTACTATATAATTCAGATGTTAAGTTTGTATAAATAACTTTTAATTGAGAACAATTTTTTTTAGATATTCCTGTAACGAATGACCAATTTGGATACTGTTCTGATGGCACCTGTTCCTGAAGAGAGTGTTGGTCACCTAAACTGTGAAGATACAAAATAATCTGAACTCGATGGCTGAACCAGCAAGGTTAGATCCTGACGCCACATCAGAAAACACAGATGTTTGTATTTTTTGCACCAAAGCTAGCCGAAAAGTTAAAGGCAAGCACGTATCTTTGTACTCGATTGAAAAGGATGCTTTAATCAATAGTTTGCAGCCGTACAAGGAATTTTTGAAAGACTCGATTGTGTATCAACAACTACAAAGCTCAGCTGATATTAAAGCTCATCGTTTATGTCGAGTAGAATATATGTAATCCTTGCGGATTTATGACAACAAACCGCAAACTGGTTATCATAACTTAACTGCACTATTTTCCAATTTCGATTTATTAAAAGTTCTATGAAAGTCATAAAAATTGAACTATCTTTTTACATCTTGAATTTCTTTACATTACA